GAAGTATTGTAAGACTTTCAACAAGTACATAGTTTATTTACTTGTGAATACTGAAGTATTATGTAAAGGTTGTATCAGTATTACAAAATCCATGTATTTCATGCTGAAATGCAACAGAAGGTGAAGTTTGTTATTTTATTTTTTTTTTTTTAGAATGTAGAGATTCCAGAATCAATGACACAGGAGATGAAGTCCTTGTTAGAGGGATTACTACAGAGAAATGTGGAGGATCGACTGGGGTGTAAAGGAAGGGGGTAAGTAGGTCAAAACCTAAGCTCAATTAGGTTTGTTTATCAGAATCACCCTCCACACACAAGTTGGATGATTTTATATAATTGGTATCAGTAAGTGAAAAAAGTTTAGGATGAATCACCTGGAAGTAACTGGCTGGAACAGTATACTGGTAACAGGGTTTAACTCTTCTTTTTTTGACCTTGGTGGACTAGAGATCCAAAGTTTAAAATATTGGTGGACCTTCATAAATGTTTAAGTTATTTATAAATAGATTCATTATACAAGGCTTGAAACTAAGTTTTTAACAACCTGGTAACCAATCCAGTCAGACTAATGAAGTATAATTTCAACTTGTCTGCAGAAAAACCCAAGATCTTTCCAGCAATACATGTACTGTGAAACTTATTTTTCAATATTTAATTATTATGTACGTCATACTTGTCATAATTCTCTTGACCCAAAGTGTTAAATACAATATTTCATCACCTAAAAACTGGGTATCTCAGTTTCTCTAAAAACAATACATGTAAACAAGACCAAATAAAAATGAATAATTTTTTTTATTATTGTATTCAAGTACGTGTCATTTTGTAAAGAAGGTGTAATAGGGATCATGTTAGAAATTAATGTTGAATCTGTATTGTAGCTGATTGTGTTATTGATTATATTACAGGGCTAACGAGGTGAAGGAACATGCGTTTTTCCGTGGCATTGATTGGACCCAGGTATTCCTACAGAAGTACACCCCACCCCTCATTCCCCCGAGGGGAGAGGTCAATGCAGCTGATGCATTTGATATTGGGTCCTTTGATGAAGAAGATACCAAGGGCATTAAGGTAGGGGCTGTGTTTGTTAGTATATATTTATATTTGACCTGTTCAGCAGAGGTGATAGGAATGTAGTGTATTGATCTATGACCCTGAACTGTGCAGGTTTTTTAACTAGATTCTTCTTTATTTATTGTTCTTCTTCAAGTATTGTAGATATAATTAAAGTTGTTTCTAAATCTTATTAATCATATGTAAAAAAAAAAAAAAAAAAAAAAAAAAAAAAATATTAAATGTGTGTAAGTCTGCAAAGTTTCCTCTTAAATCGAGTTAATTTGTACATTTGTTGAGCAAAATAGGTTCAAATTTTAATGGTGCAGTCACAATGAAAATATCAGACAGAACAGTTTCCTTATAAACATTTTCTTTCAATCCGTTTCTGTTTTTACAGCTAGCTGAGCAGGACCAGGATTTGTACCGTAATTTTACAATGACCATCTCCGAGCGGTGGCAACAAGAGGTAGCGGAAACTGTGTTTGATGCCATTAATCAGGACACGGATAAACTGGAACAAAAACGCAAACAAAAACCTCGCATTGATGATGTAGACCTAGGTATCTTATCATTTCTACAAGAAAACTACCCAAATTCTACAAGTTTTGGAGCAACTTTTCTTATCTGTACAGTTCTACAGTATTTTGATATCTCAAAATTTGATATGTCAGATGTAAAATTTAGTGGACAAACACAAAATTATTATGAATTGCAAATCTAATCTTCAATATTTAGAATATCTGGAGATCTTTAAGAGTCTTCTTCTCCCACCCCTAGATACTAATTATATAAGTGGTTAAACTGCTTATTTAAAGAAACTCACCTGCATGATGTAATGTGTTTTAGCAACTAAAGTTTTACTGGTCTGTGATTAAATGATCCACAAAATCCACAACCATTGGTCCTCGTTGAGCATTAAGTGTTGCACTGTATTGCTTTATATTCCTACAGCCACAAGCAGTTTCTAAGAATATAAATCTTTTTTTGCAGATCAAACTGACTGTATTGTAGAAGGAGAAGTGTTAAAGTTAGGGGGTCCATTTCTACAAACATGGCAGAAAAAACATCTGAAGCTGTATCCAAATCGATTAGAATTCTATCATAAAAACCGGGACGGGCAAATAACCAGGGCAAAAGTAGAGGTACTTAGGTTGATTGTCAATGTATTCTAAAAAACAAGTACAATAACTTGAGAAATAAAAAGAACAGTATATTATCTGTTATGCTTTCTACTGAATTTTTCTGTAGGTTAAATTTTCTCTATTTCCAGTCTTTGAAAAACCATGTTTAGAGAATAAATGATTTTTTGTTTTGATTATGTGATTTCAGTGATGATTTGATTTGATTTTGTCTTCTTTCAGTGTATTTTGATGCTAGACATAAAAGAAGTATATCCTGAATTCCAAAAATTACAAAAAACAGACAATTGTATTGTGATAGTGTTAAAAACCGAAAACAAAATTGCCATAACTTCTCCAGTAAGTTTTTAAGGAATACATCTAATTTTCTTGTAATTATATATTCAAAGTTGATCCTACTTTGGACTGAAAATTTTGCTAGTTTATGTTATTTGTTCCATGCATATTTAATTGAATCAATGAATTTATACAAGAGAAGATAAATATTTACAAAGAGAAGGAAGCTGAGTGTGTTATGATCAATATGTTTGAAATATTGATTTGAAAGCCCTTGATCTGTTTTTTTTCAGGATAAAGTGCTCATTTCTCAGTGGAAGGATGAGATTATTAACGGACACAAATTATCAGCACAGATAGTGGCTAGGATGACAACAAAAGCAAGCAAAATGTATGGTGCTGCTATAACTAACAGTCCCAGCTCGGAGAATTTCAAACCTCCTCTAGAACATAGAAATAGTAACGGGAGCTAGACACCCTCCTCCCTGTTGATAGCTTTCTTGTGATCAGTGACACGCCCCTCTCCTCGATACTCACGTGGAACCATATCAGAGAGAGGTTCAGAAACGCAGGGGTGGATCCTGGCTTCCTCTGGAATACCTGATGGGGATCCGGCACATTTTTCAAGCTAGTCATCAAATTTTTATCCAACTTGGCAAGACGTTATTTTCTACTACTACCATATGTTGTCGTTTTTTTTTTTAAATTGTTTCAGCCAGGTGAATGGCTCAGTGTTGTCATTGTGTCAGTAGGCACGTGTGATATCAACCAGTGTGAGTGGGTCTGTCTGTCTGTCAGTGTGTTGCATCATTAGTGAATGGAGAGAGGACTTTGGGCCAGTGTTTCATTAAGGCTGCGTCCACGAGAGGGTGTTCTCTAAAAAACAATACTCAGCTTCCATGATACGCAATCTACTCGTAAATGACCATCAAAGCGCCCAGACTTTTGTTTTATCTGCAATCTCTCAGATTTTTCTTATGCTTTAACACCTTTTGTATGCCTGCATCTTTATGACGTGTTCATTATTGTGAGATGTCTGACACCCTAGCCAACGTTCTCAATAAGTAAAATTTCATAGAAGTTGTATACTCAAACAGCTTTTAAGTAATACACATGAGTAGTTTTCCGCAGCTTAACAAATTTTATTGAAACTTTGTGCTTCATGAATACCAAAGTTTTAGCTATACAATCCAAAATGAGAACTATTAAAAATAAAAATAACATTGAATGATCTCTTTAGGCTTTACCTGTATTTATGTGCAGATCTTTTTTTATGAATGATCTCTATCCAGTGATTTATTGTTTTGTATAAAAATGAATTATCTCCCTTTCTATCCCCCCTTTATTGACCCAGTAGATGGCTCTTGTGTCTCACTTGACAGGGTACCGTACAAGGCATTCCTCGTAACAAGCTTTTTCTGTGGAGAACGCACTTAGAGCATTTTTATGACACAAATCTAGTTTTTCATCTACCTCTGGTCACATGACACTCCTTAACCAATGACCACACAACAAGGACTGCAGTGCTTGCCAGCATAAATATTTCATCCGTTAGGTTTGCTAGGGTAAAGAATGTTAGACATTGTATGTCTTTAATTCAAGAGATGATGTGAATGTTTGAATGGGATGTGAGATATTTTTTAATGAACCAAAACTATTGCTCCAATTTTTTTTTATTGTCAAGCACCTTGCTATGTGGAGAAACTTGACAAATCTGTGTGTACAGGTGACTTTAGCAGTTTTACCAAAGTTTTATTTGTTACATTATTTATTCTGTTTATTAGATCTCTATTACTTTGTGAATCTCAATGTATCTTTGAACTTGGACTTTTATGTTTGTGTCTGTCTAGATAGACTCTCACAATGCAAGGCAGATTGTTGTCTTGGGGTGGACTTTAAATCTTAGGGGTGGGGTGTATGTCTTAGGGGTTATGCAGTATAAAACAGTAGCGAGGTATTGATTTAGCCTCCATCGTCAGCTGGTTTGACTCGTACTTTTCAGTGTAGTATTTTTGGTCCAGTTTGGACATAAGTTGATGTAAGGTGATGTGATTTAATTTAGAATCTGTTAAAACAATGTAATAACCATTATTTCAGTACAACACTTTAAGTTCTTAGTGTCATACAGAAAAATTGTTTTGTTTACAATTTATGACTAAAGGGAGGAATTCCTGCAATGTTGTATACTGTCATGAAATTTTGATACATTTTTAAATCTGATGGAAAATTACTATATAATTATATGTATGAATTGTAGATTCAAGACTACATACATATTAACTAATATTGTCAAGACAGGTGACTATTTTACACATTTTTCATATGGAAACTGTTGTAGGTTTTTATCCAATTGAAATGACAACAGAGAATTGCTTTAGATTTGTCAGATGATGTACTGTAGATGTTGGATTCCGTCACGTGATCTGTTTTATATGTGGATAATAAGAATCTCTATTGGAGCTTCCTTTGTCAGATCAGTATATCAGATTTACTCTCATTGAAACAAAAACAGGTTGGTCAAAATCTTCAATGTCTATCAACTGTTCAATCATTGTATGGAAATTTTTTTTCTCCAATCATGAAAAAATGAGACATTACCCCCATATTATTTTCTCTGCATACTCAATTTGTGATCATGGGAGCTAGAAATGCCAGATTTTTTATTCAGTATGTAGTAGGCTTTGTAAGACCAGTAGGACTCTGCTATGTGTACTGGTATCATTATGCATATCTCGGCAGAACTAGATTACACAAAGCCGAGTTCTGCAGTACCAATGTTATCAATGTGCAATAGGGACGACATATCTGGCTGACATTGATGCATTTTCATGAAATCCAGTCATTATTATTAAAGTTATTTGACATTTTCCATGTGATCCATGTGAAAATGTGTATTTATTATTTATTCAAATAAAATCTACAAAAAATATTTCTCTCTATTTTGATGAGTATTTCAGGGAGGATAACTCTAAAATGATAATGGGATATCCTTTGCAGGAGAGATAACTCTAATCCCATTTGATGGGGTGACCACGCCCACTTGTACAGATATTTATCTGCTTTTACTTTCGTGTTGCACTGTAGTACATTTAAACAATAGGGGAACTTGTTTTTAAATTTTTGGAATTAAGTGTACAATTGTTTTTGTACTTTATTTATAGAATAAGAAAGTTCAAATTGTTTTCCGTTATCTGCACGCTACCGTGGCTATTGATGCCATATGCTGCATACTTTTTATACAGATTTCATATTTATCTAGAACAGAAATCAGAAAAATAATATATAGATAAGAATTTTCTAAACTTTTCACAATGTCTTTTTCAGTGTGATATTTTTATTGAGTCACAGTTTCGAAGAAAATCCAACTTTTTTGATTAAAATACTAAATAATTTTATAAGCTAAGAATACATTTCATCTTCTTTTAATTTCTGTAATTAGATCGTTAATGGGCTTTGAAGTGCTGTATACTTCAATATAAACCATGCTGTGCTGTTAACAGTGGGCATTGATTAGCGTACTCGTATACTTAACTGATAATCAATTGAAAATTTTGAAGTGAATTTTAATCCTATTTTGTAGTTCCCTGCAGATCACTTAACATTTAAATTCGCGCTTAAGCGAAACGTTAAAGTCTCCTGACTTGAGAATTTGTCAATAGCTCTAATTTTTAAATACTAGCTCGGTCTGCCGATTCTTTAACCGGAATAAAAACAAACACGCCATGTGTCTGTAGCGCGTCCATAGAAACTCGCAAAACGAGGCTCCGCTGATTTCAACCTTCAATCAGTGTATAATCTTGTTTTTATTTAAATCATGGATATATAGACTGGCACCGATTTCTCGGGAAAATGTTATAGAGGATTTGTACATTATCTTGTCCTTTTTGTCTCGCCTGCGACGAATGTCGCGAAGCGAGACATAGCGACCATAGATTCCGTCGTCGTCGTCGTCGGCGTCCAACTTTTGGTTAACCCAAATGTCAAAGTTTTATAAACTGCAATAACTTTCTCAAATTTTATTCAGTCTTCTTGAAATTTGGACACAATATTCAGTATGGATAAAAATTTATATCCCAAGTATGATTTTGAAAAAAAAAATTCAAATTTTTCCGTATTTTTTCCTTAAGTTGGACATTTTTTCATGATAATTTATGGTGAAGACCTATATTCCAGCAACTATAAGTTATAGGGATATGATAATTAGTCAGTGGATACATCATGGGTAACCACAAACGTCAGTACCAGAATTAGGTCATCTTGACCTACATTTTTCTGCATGAGTGACTTTGGTTAAATTTTTGGTGGAGGTCCATATCTCAGCATCTATAACTTATAATGGCATGATGATTTGTCATTGTACAGGTTATAAGTAACCAACAACATCAGTACCAGAATTAGGTCATTTTGACCTACATTTTTCTGCATGAATGACTTTGGTTAAATTGATAATGGAGGTTCATATTTCAGCAACTATAACTTATAGTGGCATGATAGTTAGTCAGTGGATACATCATGGGTAACCACAAACGCCTGTACCAGAATTAGGTCATCTTGACCTACATTTTTCCGCATGAGTGACTTTGCATAAATTTATGGTGGAGGTCCATATCTCAGCAACTATAACTTATAGTGGCATGATAATTTGTCAGTGGATACATCATGGGTAACCACAAACGCCTGTACCAGAATTAGGTCATCTTGACCTACATTTTTCCGCATGAGTGACTTTGCATAAATTTATGGTGGAGGTCCATATCTCAGCAACTATAACTTATAGTGGCATGATAATTTGTCAGTCTACACATCATGGGTAACCAACAATATCAGTACCATAATTAGGTAATCTTCACCTACATTTTCTGCATGAATGACTTGATACATATACAGTGGATTTGATTTCAAAATGCAAGTTCAAATTATTGCGACTCATAACACGTTGCAATATTCGCAATAATAAAAACATCACAATAATTTGTGAATTTACAGGGTATATGTATATATATATAAATGCCAATATAATCGCCAAGGGATTAGATATTAAGTCAGCTGTTCCATTTCTTTATTATTGTATTTTTGAGTTATTCCTTCTGAAATGTCAATAAATGCTTCAGTTTATCAGACAATCATTTCTTACTAACCACAGCGACAGCAGGCGAGACACAGGGTTGCGGGCAACCCTTACGTACTTTTTTAAGGTAAATTTTTTTCTTATTTTTATGTATATCGTTAAAAGGTAAACATTTTGTTAAGATCTCAATATATTTGTCTAAACCTGCAGTATGTTTAAATCCCTTTAGAAGATAAGGGTGATAAAATTTAGTAGTTTCACACTCAAAATGAAAATCAGAACACAATGATTTAAGTGTTTTAAAACTGTCCATCGCCGATTTATTGCATGCATAGGCTACTTTGAATTTCACAAAGACCCTGTATAAACGAGTGCTTCGGCAAAAGAGCAGGCATTATATTTGTTTTAGAGCATTATTACAGTGGTTATATGACACGTATTGGGAAAATTTATTACAAATCCCTCTCTGAGATTTATGGTTCAAAAGTCTACCTATTCAATCTAAAGAAAGCATGAAAATCCTGAGATGTTTTATAAGAATGGGGGCTTTGTATAGACCCTGGTTCTGGGACTGGTATTATGGGTGTTGAGTTGGATTTCCCTCGTAAAGAAATATACCTACAGTTCGAAATCGTCTTGAGTTCTTTTTATCTGTTCGCCTTTGTGTTGATACACTGGATTTATAGAGAACTGTGTAGCAGTTCAAAGAAAATCGACAATTTAAAAGTTGACATCCTTTCTAGAAATTAAAACGATTAGAGCGTTCAACACAAACATATTTAAATTAAAGAAAAACAGTATTCAGTCAGTACGAGGGATTAAACGTTAAAAATCAACACAAGAACACAAAACTTAGAGAAAACTTTTGATTTAACGGTAAATTGAAGACTTGGATTTCAGGATTGAGTACAATATTGTTGTCCTATAGAAGTGTGTTAATCCATACGGATTATCTTGTCGGTCAGCACATTATTTATTTAACCACATGTCAAACTTCATTGTTATAAAATTTATTTTTATTCACAGATGAAATTTAATATTAACAGAGGCATTTGGAATAGTTTTAATCAATGTCTTTAAAGATAATAAGTCGTGAGTTTGAATTTTATGTGCAATACCTTTTACATTTGTGTTGTTAGTAGTCATGTCGGAAAAATCTGTGAGGTAATGTATTTTTAAAAGTCATTTCCTAATGTTTGATTATCTGTTTGCTTGCTCATTTAAGAAATGGTTGACGGAAAATCTTGGTATATAAAATGTATACAGTACGAGCTAATTATAAGAACGCATTTACAAGCAATTTTGATTTCAATTTGATTAAACTTTTATAAACTTTATCTAAGGTTTTAAGAAATGTATGTAGTTTGTGGAAATATGTCATTGACTCACTTTGAATATTTCTTGGAAATTGTTTCTGTAAGACCGTAACGTTTTGTCAAATAGTCCTCAACTCTCAGAATTTCGTCCAACGGTTATCATCAAAACTCGAGAGCGAACACGCTAGTGTACACAATTACCCCAAATGTTGTTCCAAACTCGACTGAGATAAGCCGATTGACTGGAGTGGTTAAAGCGGCTCCTGCAGATAAAAACAGGGGTCCACTCGAAGACTGATCCAAATTAGGTTAGACATCCTCCAGTGACGTCATCGGTTTCTACCATCAAATGAAATATAAATAGTACGAGATTTAAGTAATACGTGGAGCAAATAAGATTGAACAGATTTTAATGTTAATAATATTATGATTAAAAAGCAGTTTATTTTGACTTATTGCTGTTTTCATTTCACAACGTTGTACCAGGAAGGGGACCGCGTGAGTCGGATTATAAGTCAATGACTTACCGATACCCAGGTGTAGGTTCTTTGAGTATTTAATTAATAGTAATCATTTCATCCAAACATTAGCTATAAGAAAAGAAAACCACATATAAAGGTTCATAATTCACGTTTAATGGTCAAAATCGGTAAATGATGTTTATCTTATCCCTAATGACAACTCGTTAACTTATATCGATAAAATACGAAGAAGGCCAGAATGAATACTACTAATTAATTGAATTTCAATAAATAATAATGCCGTAAAATATGGATGATATCGACATTTCTCTATGTATCTCGTCTACAGGGGGGGCGTGAATTGTCAGGGACAGGAATTCTAACAGATCAATAGAACATACACGTACATTTAAGTGTTGCTAAGTTCACAGGGTTATCGAAGTTGTGTGAGACATTTTCATAAACCGTTTTCCCTATAAAAATAAAACATATATTTGAAGATAAATTTCATTAAAGGGTTGGCTAAATACAGGATGCTAATATTTCTTCACAATTCACAAGCTGACTTTTAGATCTTACTGAGAAAAATAATGGACAAAAAAGTACAATGCAATCCATTTAAAATATTTCTGGTAAACGTGATTAATTGTTGGATTAAATAATATAATCTAGAACAAAGTTGTGAAGAAACATACAGCGTATTCAGAATTCGGGTCTGAAGCTGCTATACATGTATGTCAAAAAACTATATGAAATTAAAAGGTACTAACTATACAATTAAAAACCACCTTAGGGGATAATTTTTGACTTTTAAAACTAGATTGTTTGATAAAAGGCCTTGAATTTAAAAGAGCGTATATTTAATTTCCCAAGAAGACCATGTATAAATATCTATAATTAAATTACATGTAATGGTTTTTGTCCAAAAAAAGTCCAGAACTACGAGTCACAGAGTTTAATGTCGCCAGAATGGTTTTAATTTTCAAATGTACAATATATATTTTTATCCTCTATATAGTTTGATTTATATTTACGACGCCCTCTACCGTTCTTTGATGTTCGGATCAAGGTCTTTATCTGCTCAAAAATAAAACACACATTTAAATGGATGATTCGTGAATAACTTTGTATCCGGGATAGTCCGATTCAAAAACCCTGCAGTAATGCACTGAACGTGTTCGGATTCATTTCAGTGTAATGAAAGTTTTCCCCAAAGAAATCATTATGGAGAAAAACCGAAGTCCTGTATAGGTTTCATGTGGACTTCAATCGATCAGAAGTTTTAAGGGTATTTAATTAGCAAAGAAACTAATTAATACTTGCTCAGCTTCTCTCTTTTTTCTTGTTGAGGAGATATTGATCTTTTTATTAATCTTCTCAGAATGTGGAAAGATATCCATGTCTCTAGACTTAATTAGAAAAGGATAATACCGCATGCACGGTCTAAAAGAATTTGTGTGTAAAATTTAAATGAATTTTGGAGTACAAGTTCTCTAAAGAAAACGGGCTTTAGTATGTATATAATTAATCACGGTAGCGCTGTTTAGTATAGATAGTTAGAGACAGGGGGCAAACAAAAAAATGAATTGATTTATCGATATCGTTTTTGGTCCGATACAGCGTGAATTGTTTCTGATCTGTGTTTTGACGATTCCGCGCCATTCTATCCTCTCGTATGCCTTTTCCCGCCCTTTGTCTTCTCTCTATCACTTGCTCATTGTTGATGCAGCAAATGTCGATATTATTGCTGGCGTTGCCATCAACACTCTGATTTTAAGAGATTAACGGTTGATTTTATGAACCAGATTGGTTTTTCGGGTTGTAGATGATCGTTCAGGTAAGGCTTACTACACTAAAGTACTAGCAGATTTAATGTTTAAATATTTAGTATCCACGGTAATAGACAAACTGCTGTATCACATGTATCAATGGATACTCACAGCATTGTTTTTGATATGTATGATCTGTATAATTTCTATCAAAAACGTGAACGTACTAGTTTCAAAATGCACAAAATCTTTCGGGATTTTATAATAAACATTTCGTGACTTTTTAAAATTTTGGTTGGATGCGTTGTTAAGGAATATATGTATATATCATTAATTCGAAATAATCTTGAAAATAATTATGGTCATCTCTACTTTATATGGAAAATCTGTATCTTACATAATTGTTAGGTACCTAATGATGTGGAAAATTATTAAGTTAGCAAGATAAAAAGACAACCAAAAAAATCAAAGAACAATTTGTTATCGGAAATCCGTACGTTGTAAAACCTTTAAACGGCCTAATTTAGATCAATATATTTGCCTTTTGTTTCGCATGTTCGCTTTGTTCTCTAAATATTAAGAGAATTGTGAAACAGTTTCGTTTTTAACGAAATAAGACCCTTATAATGCCTTACCAACTCTTCGATCTATCTCAAAGAATGGATTTTATCGACAACCTTCTGTCTTAATGGTTTTGAAATTGAACAATTTGTTTGACAATTTATCTGATATCAAATTACCCACCGAATGTTCATTAAAAGATTGCTGATAAGCTAATCAAAGAACGACAAAGAGGAATTCTCCTATTGGAATTTATATCGAAATCAGATCGTATACTGTGCCAAATTAGTTCCCGTTAGAGGTGATATTACGAGATCTATTGTTTTTTTATGGTGCTGATATGGATGATTTTATGGTTTAAGTTGTGTATTGAAGACACCCAGGTATCATAACACAGGTTTCACGGATATCGAATGTTGTGCCTGGAATGAAATATCTGTGTGACGTTCTTTGAAATATTGAACAATTATGATGTAAGTTTGTATGTACCATGCTTCTGAACATTTTTACTCAAGTCCATTCGCTCAACCAGTGTAACATTAGGAGGAAAAGTATATGAGGCATCTGTTATCCATTTCATGCCTGTCCTTCATATTCGGGCTAAACTGTACCAATAAATTACTTATATAAGTCCTTCATATTTGGGCTATACTGTACCTCTAAATTACCGATACAAAACCTTTATATTGGGATTATACTGTACAATACAAATCCTTCATATTCAGGTCGTAGTGTACGATTTCATTTTCTTGTTTAGATATTCCCTGCCAGCCGCCATGAAGGAGCAGACCTATGGCTGGTATCCTTCTCAGAAGGATGTTTACAAGGATCGCAGGATGGGCGCTCCCAATGCCTACCGTAAGTATTTTTCTTCTTTTGCGATATCTCATTGACCATTAAAATAATTGCTTTAAAGAAGTTATACCGTGTTGGGTACTTCAGTTGCACTTTTCTTTCTTTTTTTCTTTATAACAGCCATTTTCAACACCCAAGATATGGAGTTTCAAATACTTTTTTCCTTCTGCCACTTTTTTTCATATTTAGATTATTCTTATACTATCGAACGTATCACGCTTAAACCTTTTTTATCCGACAAAGTGGATAATACGCATGTCTGTAGGAATGGGGTGTCGGTCGAAGGATTATTACCAAACTAAAATTTCCTTGTTCTTGCAGGTCATCATACAATGTCAATAAACTTTTCCTTATCATAATTTAGTTTTAAAAAATACAAATTAACTTTTAATTGCAAATTTTTTTTCTGAATGAGTGGATGCAGTTATAAATTTGTACCTAACATGATTGCTGAATTATGATTCTAATTTTAAAATACCGGTAAGGACCATGTTTCCAGGATGACGTGCTCAGTTGACTTTCTTTATATAGAAAGAAAGCTTGAATTTCAAAGTGGCTTAAAATTCAAAGAAATAAAAATTGCCCAGGAAAGTGTAATTTTTTTCTTATTAATTATACATCATTGTCATTTTCTGGAAGAATTTTTTTTTTATTACACCATGACACGCAATGGTCTCTTTTTAATCATTGTCTTTATATAAGTTGTGGGTTTGCAATGAATTTTATGATCTTCTATAATTTATAAACCCTTGTACAAAAGTATAGATCAATATTGATATATCCCGGCACGTAGACATTAATAACATTGTGCATCTCTTGTGTTATTATAACCATGTAAACGTAACTGTTAAGCTTTTGTTCTTGTTGCAGAATTAGAAGCCATGTACAAGTACAGGGACAGTCAATATTACACAGCACCACGACCACCTAGTCCTCGCACCCCCGGGGCTTTTCGACCCTCACCATCTCCTGCAAAGCGTCCTATGTCCACTGCATCGTCACAGTCCAGGGCTACAAAGAAATCCACTCCTTCTCTGCAAGTCCGGGCCAAGAGCGCCCCGATTTACGACTTCAAACCCGTGCCACGCCTTCAGATTCCCACACCCCACCAGTGCTGGGCCATGGCAACGGAAGAAACAAACTACACAAACTACACACCCCAGCCACCTGTCTCCCCCGTACCCTACTCCTGGCCCACCCCACAGCCAGCCTCACCCTCGCCGTCCTTCAAGTCAGATGACCTAAGCAAGTACAGCTCTCGTAGCGACAGAATCAAAAGTGCTGTCATCAGGCGGGATAAACCTACCGCACCACAACGTCCGGTCAAATCGGCGGGCCCCTCCCGTGACGCCACCTATAGGACCCCGTCCCCCAATAAGATCCTCCGACCGAAGACCCCGTCCCCTGTAGACCTGTATGACCTAGTGCCGGAGGAGGAAGAGGAGATCAAACCTTCAGAAGAGCTATATGACGAAAACCTTAAAAAGTTTGGTTGGAGAATGGAGGTCCACGGGGATCCTTATAAAATAAAGTAAGGGTACAGCAGTAAATTTCTATTCTTTTAACGTAAAAGTGGAGAAAGCATGGAAGAGGGAGCTAAAGTCATTCAAATCTGTAAAGATGGTTTATACCCTTTTCAGATATTTGTATCATTTCATTAAACAAAAATCCAGAATACTACATGGAGAAGTCTCAGTTGTATACATGATTGTAATATTTTTTTTTTTTTTTTTTTTTTACAGTTTTAGGCGCTTTTTTACTGTAATATACATGAACATTTCATTTCAGACCGACCACCCAGAGGCTGCCGTACTATGTACGCTGTGATGAACCGGAAATAGAACCTGAGGGTCCCAAGGTCCATATGGAGAATCTGGAGACCTTCTTCCTGAACACGATTCCTCGCAGACCGGCGACATTCGCCATCCACAAAGAGTGGGTGTCCGAAACCATCCACGCCAAGCGCATGGAACTGCAGAAGAGGGAGGGGATCAAACATCGATGGAAAAATTTCGCTTTCGTTTATTAACAACATTTACTGCTTTAATTTTTATATACCTCAACCACTAAAATGACATTTTATCAATCTGCGAAAAAAAATAAATCTTCCAATTTCGGAAAGCGAGGAATTCTGAACGGGGAAGGAAACAGGAGCGGATCTAAGTGTCCTCCTGCTCTGGCCCTTGTTCGGCCCGAGAGATTCAGATTTTAATTTTCGGGTTTTATAATTTTTATTATTTTGTTGTGGACAATTAGAAATAGACAGGGTGACAAAGAGAAGATTTATGCACAGGGTTTCGAGCTCGAATCACTGCCTGGCATTGCTCTTCATCATTACGACTGTGATTGGCTACACTATGTGTAGTAACCTCTAAAACATTGACGTCTTTCATAGATACTAGTATTTAACCATTTGAAATGATTTCTTTTTAGAACTTTTTTTTCTTTCAAAAAAATATTAATCATATTTGTTATAGCTTTATTATTTGATTTTCATATTGGTGTGTACATGTGCGTCTATTTTCTATTCATGACATATATGTAGACCTTTCTCTATTGAAAATTACATTTCTATATTAATAAAATTATTGTTGATAGACTTATTGTGTTTAATAATACTTCAGAAGCTACAGGTTTGTATCTTTTAAGATGATAGAATTAAAAACAAATCTTGAAAGACTAAGAAGATCAAATTAATAATTAATTGTATGACTTTAAACGAGACCTCTGGTATTCTTGTTTCATCAACTTGATTGTCAATAATTTACCTCGTTTTAGAAATTGTTCATACGTAGAGCATGCTTTTGCTTATCTAATCAACTGAGAGATACCGGTATAAACCCCGTATGTAGGTGAGAAAGGTATTTTGCTGCATATATAGTAAGGGAAGTTGACGATTGAAAAGTTAAAATCATCATGTTTATCATTGAGTTTGGTTGTTAGATTACCATTTACATTTTTTTAACAGACATGTCAGACTCTGTGGTATCTTTTATCTCAAGCTCACCAGGATAAATCGTATCGACATAAGAATGGAGAGCACCATTGTTAATTGACAGTACGTCGTCGATATATCTAAATGTCGAGTTGAATTAAGACCACAGCACGTATTTTCTTCTTTTCACGCATAAGATTTTACACAAATTCTGCTTCATATGAATACAAAAATAGGTCTGCTAATAACGGGGCGCAATTGGTACCTATGGGAATTCCAAAGGATTGTTAGGAGACCTGGTCTTCAAAAACCACATATTGTCAATTAGAAACTCAAGCATTTTTTGATGTCAACTTCAGAGTACTTGTGTGTACAATCAGTGTTTTTCAAACAAAATCATTTTGCAATTTAATGACTAATGAAAGGTAAGTAAATTTATGAGTTCCATTTTTATTGAAAAAGCAGCTCTCATATAACAGGAAATCTATCATTTTAGTATTGCACTAAATACCAAGCGTCATAAGTTCAGTGTGTCTGATGTCTGTTATGATGTTGTTGTTTTTTTTCTCAATAGATAGTTTTCATATAACGTATTTTCTCTCCAAGTTATTTCCTTTGGCTGACATCTGCTAATTTGTCTTTTTGTCTTGCCAATTTAAGAGGGTGTAGCAGAAATATTTGGGGAAAATCTTTATTGAATAAAAATTATGAAATAAAGAAGGCTGTAACAAATTTATAATTAGGCAAAAAAATTAATGCTTCTACCCTACAATCGCCAGTATCTAAAGTTAAAGTTGGGTGAATTATGAAGGACTGTGAACGTGTTGACCCCAATATGGCGGCCAGCGGGAAATAACTCTTGTTAATTTGGGCCTACTGAAAACTATCTATAGAATCTCGAACTTCAAAGATTTGTTAGTATCATTCTGATGAGCCTCACCATCAATACATCATAAATACTGTATTTCAGAGAAAGTATCCAACATATGATGGTTATTAACACTCTACAACTAAAGAGTTCCAGATATCTGAACATAATGTGTTTTATCCCTGGTGAGTGAAAACAACCTCGAGTAAAATATGACTAGAACATATGCCTCATTTTGCCTTCTATTAGACTGCCTTTAAGTATTTATTGTACAAAACAAGTGACAAATTCTGTTTTTTTTTTCTGGTATTTAATACATTAAATTTTCAATCATCAACAATAACACAGTCAATAAATAATAACAGTTTATACAAAATCACAAGTCTAACACAGATGGCTGTACAACAACAAACAATAGTTTTATTTATAATTCTCAAATCTGTGATTGGGAGAAACCAGCATGATTATCTTGATGTGTGTTGGCAATGGACTTATTTAAATAGGTTCTATATTAAGTACAAGCATTTTGAGGTATATCCATCCAAATTTAATGGGGAAATACACATGTAAGTTATTATAATCTGGAAAGTCTGCTATGTGGGTATAACTGGGAAGCTTATATCAACTAAGAATGGAATGTATCTATTTTGTTTACCATGAGCTAATGAAGAATTGACAGCTGCTGATGATCATTTATGTTACGTATACATTGACTTTTACACTGACTTGAATAGAAATGAACACCTTAATTCATGATGTAATGTAACAAACTAAACAAGTAAAGAGTGCCATATATATCTGTGAAGGTAATTTACTGAATGTCTGTAAAAAACAAGCATATATTTAACAGCTTTTCACAACCACATTAGTTTAATTTAAATATTGTTCACATAACTTTATACATTATGTAATTTATTGAACTGAGGTCACTGTTGTGAATAGTATTACATTTTATTGACCATAGATATTTTATTATCTACACTTGTACATTAAATCAAAATAACATTACATCTATAAAGTGATTCAATTTTGGCATCTAAATGCATTATATAAAAGAGTGTGCTTTGTATGCTGAAGTTGTTATTACTTCATCATTCGAGATACATGTACAACATACACTTAGGGATGGATGTCAGGCCCAAAAAGCTTAAATAACCAAACAAATTATACTAAAACATTTTGTTTTGTTTTGTGAACACTGTCTGTCATTCCTTTAATATGTAACATTTGTAAATTTCCCCCCTAAAACTCTGAAATTTTACAGGTTTTAATTTTTGTTTAACTTATACCAAGCATGAGAATCTTTTGTAATTTTAACCTCAAGGTGTTGGTCTCCAGTTTTCTTTGTTTTATACACTGTAATACCAAAGAAGATAAATTGGAAGAATTGAAGATTTTCAATAGTTATCATAACTCAACTATTTTCACATCCAGTGAATCAACTACTTAGTCTGCAACATTTGTTGTAACTCACAAATGTCTTAAAACAGAAATATTGCTTTTTACTTTTCTCACATAGGGAGAGTCATTCTCCATTGCGACTGTATTTGAGCAAAAGTAACAAATTTAGAAAATAAATTTGTATCTGATTCTGTTGAGAAAAGATCAGTAATAAAAAAAAAATGAGATTGTGTCATGATATTAAAAAACAAGTAAACATGCCATTTTTAACTCTTTGTAAAAAATAACGCATTTTCATACAGTCTTAAAATTCACTGTAATTCACGATTCTGCATTGTATGTAAACTTTGTTTTAAAAAACTTGCAAAGCCACAGTACAAGACGAAAATAACTACCTGTAACAAGTGGGATTTCTGCCATGCTTATACCAAAGGCTGTTATTCAATATAAACTGAACTATGAACAGTTCTTAGCCTTTGTTTTACTGAATGATAACATTTCAGGGAATTTCCTAAATGACAATGAGAACTGACTTCTAAACTCCTTATTTATTTTCTATAAGTGTCTGAAGTTTGTGAATTAAGTCTCTAGCAATCTTTAGAACTTGTTTGGCTTTATGTCTCTCCGCCATTTCTGCAAAAAAAGACATTATTTCATTGGAACTTTCAAGACTTATTCAGGAGTCAAACTAACAAAACTATACACATTCAGCATTGTTTCTTTGTACATGTAATACTGTACACAATTTTTTTTTTTTTATATTTCTATATGTAAAAGATATACCCGGTAAACATAAACAAAATGAGAAAAATAATAAATGAAATGTTCACTTTTAATATGTCTTTTATATTTTCCTTATTTATAATAAATTAAATCAATAACCAGAAGAAAAAACACAAACCATTAAAAAACTTGATGATATCTGTAAAGTCCATGTTATTGTCTAGGATGATGTCCCGGTAAAACTCCACTAACGCTAGGGCTATAAATAGCACAAAATGGGGGGAGCTGATGTACTTAGCTGCCCAGATTGTCTCCCATACAGAGAATACGTCGTCATAGATCAGCTCTGGAAATAATAATACGATATGATTGATACATCCTCCAAATACAGTATAAATAAATATCATAAAAGACAGAGGTACTTAATTATTTTTTTGGTAAAACAAATTGTACACAGTGAATCAGTGATCAGTTCAGGGCTCATACGTTACAGATGTAATGCAAAACAAAAAATCCCCCTGACCTCGTTTAAAGTCTAACAGGAACCATCTATAACAGAAGTAGAAGTGTGTGTAGTCACCATGGTGATGCATGTGTTCAAACAACTCAGAATCCAAAATCTGGAATACAAATATAAAATCCATTAAAATCAAAATACATATGTACCACGCAATAATGATCAATAGCTTTACATCAGTCGGGGAAAACATAATCCTTAATTCACATTAGATATTTAAGTGTTAGCAATTTGACAGAATTCTTACCTGAATTAGAGATCTCATGTTGGCAAAGTGTGTGTCCATGGCGCCTCCATGGGGGAAGTTAGCAGACATTCTCTTCATCAGCTCACAGAAGCAGCTGTACGTCAGGGACTCTGTCAAAGACATCAACAAGTATAAACAACATACTGTAAACCAACTATTATTCGCGTCATCTTTTATTCGCGATTCCTCCGTTTGAAATCAATCCATGACGAATTATTTTCGCGACGGAGGAAACTTTCCTTACAAATACTAAGCAAAATTATTGGTTCGCAGTGATTTATATTCGCGAGATTTAGCCGGTTGCGAAACTCATGAATATTTCTCGCACGCGAATAAAAGTTGGTTTACAGTAAATGGAATTATCATAATTCTTGGGGGATCAATGTTCAAGGATTTTGTAAGTTACAAGCCATTTCATTTACCCAAGAATTAACAAACATATGAATGGTATTTTTCATTAACATATATTTTCATTGAACACACTGTATATAAAAGTCATAAGGGAAATGTGTGGAGTAAAATTTTGACTGTCCAGATATATTGACCTCAGATGAATTACAATGATTCCATATTAGCTAGAACCTCATTTTCTGAAACATGTATGTACTACAATTTGTTCTGATATCTTACCATCATCAAATATGACTAGTAGTGGTGCAACAAGATCACACATGCCCTGCACATACCCAACATCCAGATGTTCCCAAACATACCTGTAAACCAGAAAAAATATAATATTATGAATGTCAGATTAAATCTGACATCTACATGTAAAACTCAAACCAAACAACTGTCCATTAATTAAGCTGTTATCAGACTCACGTGCACATTATATTGCGGAGTTTATCCAGATTAGCTGGCGTGAAGTACCAGTAGTTCCTGTCACACCGCTGTACATCTTTATCTATTCTGTGGAGATTTAGCCCGACAGTGTCCAACATTTCTGCCTAGAACAGAGAAATGAATATTTAATGATCAACTGTCTTCATGTATCAAATGCTGTACTGTAAAATTCTAGTTGTTTACTGTTGATAACTCAATTTTTTCCAAAATAATACTGTGATATTTATATCCTTCATAAAAATATAAATTGCAGTTATTTTTTTCTGCTTTTTCTGTCAAAAACATGATTATAAAAGTCTGTTTGTTGAGTATGCATTTGCTTCTGTAGAAAAAAGATTATACAGCATTTGGAGGTTGTCTCTCTTTGTACCTTTTCAAAACAATTTCAACTAGAACTGTCCAAACGGGACAAAATACCCCCCGCTGGGTTTTTCAGAAGTAAGTTTTTCCTTAATAAAGATATGTATCAAACATGAATTATGAAATTTTTCTTCACGTGACCTTGAACTTCCCCAAATGACCTTGGGTCAAGGTCATGACACACCCTTGGGTCATGGGCAATCTTTGTGTGAAATGAAAACCTACCAAGTTTATCCATAAGAAAGATATGGACTGGACACAAATTATGAATTTTATTTCCAGTGACCTTAAACTTCTCCAAATGACCTTGGTTCAAGGTCATGTCACACTCTTAGGTCATGGGCAAGCTTTGTGTGAAATGAAAACCTACCAAGTTTATCCATAAGAAAGATATGGACCGGACACGAATTATGAAAAAAATTTTCCAGTGACCTTGAACTCTCCAAATGACCTTGAGTCAAGGTCAAGACACACCCTTGGGTCATGGGCAATCTTTGTGTGAAATGAGAACCTACCAAGTTTATCCACAAGAAAGATACGGACCGGACACGAATTATGAAATTTTTCTTCCAGTGACCTTGAAGTTCCCCAAATGACCTTGGGTCAAAGTCATGACACACCCTTGGGTCATGGGCAATCTTTGTGTGGAGTAGTAGATTCTAATGTCCCTCTGTAAGAAAGATATGGACCCGACACGATTGCACAGACAGACGGACAAGGTGATTCCTATATACCCCCCCCAAACTTCGTTTGCGGGGGGTATAAAAATATGCATTGTACCGATATATAAACAGAGACTACAAAATTTTGTGATTTTTTTTTTACAAGGTTTATGGTTTATACAGTCTTCTTTCAAACCTTCAGGATTACTAATTGTCCATCTGGCCTGACCTAATGTTAACTGTTTTTCAGAAATTGTTACCACCTGTGATATACTCACTGAGTACACTCCTCCTTGTGAAGCTGGGGAGGCCGGGGAAATCAAACTCTCCTTAGACGCAGACAATCTTCTGTTTTGTTCTACAGAAAAAAAATATCCTAAAATCATGTACCAAATAAGCAAAAAAATTACATTTAAATTCATCAAATGTGAGTGCTTCAAATTTTTTTTAATTTTTAAAAATCATGACAATATACTTTACCAGTTGATGTTGGTCCTAGTGTAGACTTGGCCATGCCCCCCTCTGTCATTTCCTGATCTGATGACACATCGCTATCCTCGTCATCACTGCTATCATCGCTCACTTCCTCTACATCAGCCTCCGCACTGTCTAAAGAACAGGAGAGTTTTGTCAGGTGAACAGCTCGCTCCAAGCTTCCATCCCTGTCACTCTTAAAGAAGTCCGTTCCCTCGGAATCTTCAGCCGAGTCCAGTTTGGACCTCTCTTGAGAACTGTGAGGGGCTATCGAGTCCCCCAGTCCATCATCCGGACTCTCCGAGAAAGACTTACACACATAATCTCTTCTATTCAGTTTGATATTTTGTGAGATTTGTTCCTCCACTGTGATTATCTCCCCTTGTAGGTGGAGCTCTAGGCTCTGTTTCCTGTCTGTGGTGGGGGTACAAGTAGTCCCTGTGGTGGAGCTCTCCTCTATGACGGTCTCCTGGGTCATGATGTTGTCCCACTCATCCAGGGACTCAAACACATCATTACTCAGACTGGAGTCTCCCCGAGTAAAAGGCCCAGGCAGTGCCATGTCTGTGCTCTCAGACGACATGTTCTTGAGGATGTTGGCGGCCATTGTTTCCTTCTCTCTCTGTCTTACAATGGCCTCCACTGCCAGCCACTCAGACATCGTTTTCTCATACAGCGTCTTCACATGGTTGTCTATTCTCTGCCGCTCCTCCTCTGTACTCTTGAAGGAATAATGACCCAAAAGATATGGCCAAACCTGAAAAATAAGTCTCATTTTGCATTAACTGAATTAGTAGTAGAAAATGTTTCAAATGCAAATATTCAAAACTACCGGGTATTATTATGCTACCTGTCAGTTTGTCTCTATATAACCCATACTCTACTATTATCGCATAGTGTTCTATGGATTTATATAGCATAAGTCTACTATGCCGAAATAGGGCACGGCTTCATTTTCTGAAGAAAGCCAGACTGCGCCCACACCAAGGATCGAACTCATGACCACAAGATTGTCAGTCTGATGCGCTTCCGATTACGCCACAGACGCCATTATCATTTATTGTGCATTTTCATATACATATACTTTAGTTTCAAATATTTCATCTTAAAAAAAAAATAAACAAAATTATTTTTCTTAAATAGGTTCTTGTAACATATTTACTTTCACTTAACTTAAATTCTTTGATACTATCTATACATTATGCCTTATTGCATGAAACACTCAAAATTAAAAAAAAATTATGACGTACATGTAGAACAACGTGACGGCATAATAGATGTGTTCTAAGATGTTTGCAAGAGGTGATGAAACATTGGAAATGGAGTAAATATTGTCATTTTTATACAACAGTCAGCATAATAATAACAATAGTGTTGTGTTTTGCATGCACTATGCCTAAATAGTAGTCAGGGTTTGACACATAGTGCACTTGTCTCCGGTTCGTGCACCATGTGTCAAACCCTGACTACTATTTAGGCATAATGCATGCAAAACACAACACTATTATATAAATGACAGCACTTTTCCTTGGGGTCTTTTAACTGACCTCTTTCCTGATGCAGTGTTCTATTCCACCATAATAAACAAGTCTGTAGACCTCTTCTGGATTAGACACCTGTCAATAACAGACAAGACATGTAATCAACAATGTAATTTAAGTACCAAAGGACAAAAACATTTCAATCAAAGTGCACTAAAAGGGCATTAAGGCTGCCCATCCCTGAAATTCAGCAGCTGGGAAAACCGGAATGCTCACAAATGTCACTTAATTCACAACTAGTGTCTATCTATGCAAAGAATTTTCTTGTCAGTTTATCATTATATTAAGAGCAACTTAGCAGATCAGCTTGAAAATTAGGGATGTGCGATTTTATCGGTATAATGGTATATCGCGATTTTTTGTTGCGTGATACGTATCGTGATACGGAGACCTAAATACCGGTCTCTAAGTACATATTATAAAGTCCAGAAATTATTCATTTATTTGTTCAATCTTTCAAATGACAATTACAGAAAGTATAAAAAATGTTGTAAAAAGTGAAAAGAATGGCATCTTACCGTCCAAACATAATTGAATTTATATATATAAAAATTTCAAGAAAGTAAAATTTTGTTCATCTAGCATATTTTTTAGAAAAATAATGACTTTTCATATAAAATCATTGTAAAAACTGCTTTTAAAAATATCATGATATTATTATGATATTGTGGGGAAAAAATCGTGATATATCGCGATACGAAATTTTTGGCGATACCCATCCCTATTGAAAATTCTCAAACATTTGCAAGAGTGTTAATGTAACTCAAACAAATACTATTTTTCTTCGTTTTCTGAATAAAATTTTACAACTAGAGCTAAATGTGAGCAAGTTTCTTTAAAACAGACAACAAAGCGATAATATTTAAGTTTGTACCGATCCGTTCTGATTGAGTTCCCTCCATGTCCTTTGTGTCAGCCCACAGGATGCGTCGTAAGGAATGCTGGCAGGGACAATCCTGTGTAGAACTAACTCAGACAGGTGGGTTCTAACTGTCTTTAAGTGTCGGCAGTGGGCGAGCCCTAAATATAATCATGCATCAAACTTATTATGCATGCATAAATAAAGATGAAAGCTCCTTTTATTTTAGAAATATTTCATTGAGGACATACAATTACAACAATGATTAATGTAATTTCTGAAGCAAGCAAATTATTTTTAAAGCATTTATTGATAAAATGATCCAAGTCTCATTTTAATTGGCTGCAGACTCAGTAATTTTGCCAAAAATTTAAAAAATATATTGGAATACATATGTTCCGGTATATATATGTATAACAAAACATGATTAAATATTACTTACATCCGTAGAAGGCCCTGGAGATTATCTGTGTCTTCATCGTGTCACACAGATGTTTAATTGTTGTCCTGTAACATAATCAGAAATCATTTATATGTTGTGATTTTTTAAAAAAATTTCACTTCCTTACATATGTAGTGAAAATGTTCTTTTCATTTTAAAGAAATTCCTGAGTAACAGTACTGCAGCGCTTAAATATGTAACAGAATGATCACTAGTCTTGATCTTTTATTCAAGAGTAGGCTTCTACTAGTAAATTAATCTTTACTTATGTAGTGAATACACATGTAAAATCACTACTATTCATGGCAGGGAAAGAAGAGGGTTATTTTTCGCTGTTTTCAAGGTTTTGAGTGGCTCAGAAATTTGTGTCCACAACACAATGTAAAATGTCATATGCTTATTACTTCTCAACAATTCTTCACTCATGAAATCAAACCCGCATACACCTATTGTGTTTCCTAAAACTACAAAACATAGGTAATCAGAGATTACAGAGCTCACCTCAACGAATGTTGTCTTTAAGTAAGGCAAAGTCACACAATTAACCAACAAAAAGTATACATTCCAAAAATGAAAATATTTTTAAAAGCAATTTTGATCTGATACTTTGAAATAGACCTACATAAAAAATTTAAACTACTTCTTCTTCATGAAAATGTAATGAAAATCCAGCATCTGAAGCAAATTTGAGAGTTTTCATCTCTTGATGCAGCATTTGTGAAAGTTTGGTTTATACAATGTTATATAAACCTTATAGTTTTTGGTAATAGACCTGCAACCATAACTTTTACCTTGTCTATTATCTGAAAAATGTATGTCCAATTCAGCATCCGAAGCAAGTCCATTAGTGTGCATCCTTAGATGTATCATCCATGCAAGTTTGCTCATTATAGGGCTCATAGTTTATTGGAAATGAAACATGCATTAAAACTAACATTTTCACTCATCCACAAAAAGTAGGTCAGATTCAGCTTCCGAAGCAAGCCTGGAAGTATGCATCCTTAGATGTATCATCTATGCAAGACTGGTCATTAAAGAACTCATAGTTCCTTGGAAATGAAACCTGCACCAAAAACTTTTAACTATTCACTCAACCGGAAAATGTAGGTCAGATTCAGCATCCGAAGCAAGCCTGGTAGTGTGCATCCTTAGACGTATCATCCATGCAAGTTTGGTCAACATAGGGCTTAAAGTTACTTGCAAATGAAACCTGCACCAAAAACATTAACCCGTTCGCTCAACTGGAAAATGTAGGTCAGATTCAGCATCCGAAGCAAGCCCGGTAGTATGCATCCTTAGATGTATCATCCATGCAAGTTTGGTCAACATAGGGCTTATAGTTACTTGGAAATGAAACCTGCAACAAAAACTTTAACCTGTTCACTCAACTGGAAAATGTAGGTCAGATTCAGCATCCGAAGCAAGCCCAGTAGTATGCATCCTTAGATGTATCATCCATGCAAGTTTGGTCAACATAGGGCTTATAGTTACTTGGAAATGAAACCTGCACCAAAAACTTTAACCTGTTCACTCAACCGGAAAGTGTAGGTCAGATTCAGCATCCGAAGCAAGCCCGGTAGTATGCATCCTTAGATGTATCATCCATGCAAGTTTGGTCAACATAGGGCTTATAGTTACTTGGAAATGAAACCTACACCAAAAACTTTAACCTGTTCACTCAACCGGAAAATGTAGGTCAGATTCAGCATCCGAAGCAAGCCCGGTAGTATGCATCCTTAGATGTATCATCCATGCAAGTTTGGTCAACATAGGGCTTATAGTTACTTGGAAATGAAACCTGCAACAAAAACTTTAACCTGTTCACTCAACCGGAAATTGTAGGTCAGATTCAGCATCCGAAGCAATCCCGGTAGTATGCATCCTTAGATGTATCATCCATGCAAGTTTGGTCAACATAGGGCTTATAGTTACTTGGAAATGAAACCTGCACCAAAAACTTTAACCTGTTCACTCAACCGGAAAATGTAGGTCAGATTCAGCATCCGAAGCAAGCCCGGTAGTATGCATCCTTAGATGTATCATCCATGCAAGTTTGGTCAACATAGGGCTTATAGTTACTTGGAAATGAAACCTACACCAAAAACTTTAACCTGTTCACTCAACCGGAAAATGTAGGTCAGATTCAGCATCCGAAGCAAGCCCGGTAGTATGCATCCTTAGATGTATCATCCATGCAAGTTTGGTCAACATAGGGCTTATAGTTACTTGGAAATGAAACCTGCACCAAAAACTTTAACCTGTTCACTCAACCGGAAAATGTAGGTCAGATTCAGCATCCGAAGCAATCCCGGTAGTATGCATCCTTAGATGTATCATCCATGCAAGTTTGGTCAACATAGGCCTGATAGTTACTTGGAAATGAAACCCACACCAAAAACTGCACCAAAAATGTTAACCTGCTCCAAAAACATTAACCTGGTAATTCCTTTGCTGAAATTGCAGCATCTGAAACTTTGTCTGGTACAATAAAACACACTAAAACCATTTTCCATGCATGTCTAATCAGTATAGGACACAGAAGTAATTAAAAAGAAAACTGCTCCAAAAAACTTAACCTTAACCTGGGACGCCGACGCCGACACCGACGCCGACGCCGAGGGTATCACATAAGCTCCCCCCAACTTCGTTGAGGTGAGCTAAAAATTGACTCAAAAATTAGTGATTTTACAATAGATTGTGCATAAAAAAATATCCCAGTCATTGCATTATAATGGTTATTTAAATAATCTTGACCACTGATCAAGAGATTTAAAATAGAAAAAAAAAAACAATTTGTATACACCAAGAGGAAAATGTAAATGAAATGCTTCACAGATTTGAATCATGCAACAGATATACTGAAAGAAATAACATACACTAATTTAAATCAATTCCCCACCATGAAAAATTATTACTGTTACAGAAATTAATACATGTACATGTAATTCAATATGGCCACTATCAATCAACTCCCTTTGACAAAGAGATATATCGACACTTTAGAAAAGTGTAAATAAATTAAACAGGAAAATGTTGCAATATAGTTGGCATTATTTACAGACATGTCACAACATGGAAGATAGCAAAGAGTATACAATAATGTAAGACTGACAGCGGACAAGCTGTCTTATTTAAAGACAAACTCCCCTTTATAGAATACGATATAGAAAGAGTAATTTAACAGAAGCATTACAATAAGAGAACTGATACCAGTGACACATGGCAACAACATAGTGACTTGACACGGTAGGAAAATGTTGGGCCTGAGTTACGCACATTTGATACCTGTGATCTGTGGCAGACTTATTCAGACAGGAGCTGTTCTGCTGTTCCTGGATTTTGGCGTAACTTTGTACGGAGGATGAGTCCACCAGAGCAGGTGCTCGTGGAATCTTGTTAGCCCAGGAGTAGTCTCCCTTTACATTCACTTTAGGGTCCAGCATTTCTGGAGCTGCAGAAACAATAGGGATCTTAATCAATATTTCAAAAAACATTGATTTCGAAGCATTTCCCTATCAAACAAATAAGCCAGTAAAACATTGCACCTCGTAATGTGCAATGAGACAAAGTCATAATTATCCTTCATTTATATAAGAGTTGTTTTTCATATGACCGTCACTGGGGTCTAAAATTAATTCTCTGTTTTATTTCATATTATTAAATTACATCAAGTTGTGATAGATGATATTGGACAAATAGACGATATAAAATTTTCTGCAGGAATGTCAGAGACAAAATATTGCTGGGGAAAATAATGAAGAACATTTACAATCAAGCACTTTCAATACTAATTCTATTACACAGATGATAACAGTACATATGTCCTTACGAATGCTGTCGGGTCGGCAGGTAGAGATGATGCGGAACACGTAATCCGTGGCCTCCTCCTCGTCAGCACTAGAACTCGTGCTACTTCCTGTGGAACTCGTGCTGCCTGAAAGCAGAGAGAGTCGACTCCCCTTCTTTCTCAGTTTTGGGAAGACTTTGCCTGAACAAAGACCTAGAGCTATTACTTAATGTATGTTCAGTGTCTGTAAGTTTGTAGAACACAAAACTGTATTCTGTTTGCAAAATCTTTTCATACAAAGTATAAGAAAATGCATTGTGCAGTGACAAAAGAGAAGGATTGCAAACTTATTTCTCCAGTAGTGCCTCTATACAGAATATTTAGTGAAATAAAATAAATTTATGCAAAAGACCCCTGATTAATTAATTTTTTCATGCCCACTGAAAAGATACTATAACTATGTAGACAGCTATGCTTTTCTCTCTGATAAATGTTTCTAATCAACAATCAGATGCACCATGACTTTGAATAAGCAGAAAAAAAGCAGTTTTCTGTATGGAAAAACATAAAAAGGCATTTTACAATATCACTAATTTAAATAAAATCTTGGGGATAGAAATGAGTATAAACTGTAGAGAAAAATCATCTTCAGTGAGCAACCACAAAGCCAGATTAATACATCTTTTATAATGGTAAATACATGGAAAATGTATATAGATAGAAATCACACCAGTGCCAAAACAAGCAGAAAATCAGTGACATCTATTGCTTACAAAGCCTACACAAGCAGAAGCTATGTGTATAAATAAGCATATTCTGGGTTGGCACTAGTATCAGAAATATGTTTGTGTACCTTTACCCCTTTGTGACCAGAGAGGGGGGTCCAGCTGTCCATGGGGTAGGATCCCATTCTCCAGACAGGAAAGGAAAGCCAGCAGGTGCCCTCCTTTGGGGAAATGGATTGGGGGTCTCTGTACCCCATCCTGACCCACCAATACAATGGTACCACCACAGTCAGCTGTAAAACAAAGGGGAAGTAACTCAATAGTGTCAGCTGTAAAACGAAGGGGAAGTAACTCTGTAGTGAGGACACAAACACAGAAGATCAAAATAGGAATTCCAACAGGAGGTAAACTGTACTTACGAAATAAAGAATCTGAAAAAATATAACAAAACAGAACATAGAAACACAAACACAACACCAAACAAAGGAAGGAAATCAAATGGTTGAAGGAAAAAGAAAAGAAATTATGTAAACAAAAACAAAAAAAACTAGAACTGTCCAATAGGGACAAATACCCCCCGCTGGGTTTTTCAGAGAAGGTGCCAATTCAAAAATACTGTATGGATCTAGAGGTGTTCACAATTTACTTACAAATATTTGCAGTGAAATATTATTGCTCATCATGTTTCTTAATGAATGAAACAAAGGTGCAACCAAATGAAACATCAATACTAATACAATTTAATTCCATTGTAACATTTTTTTTTTATTTTTTCATTTTATTTTTTTTTATTTCTGCATTAAAAAAATATATTGCAATTATGTGTTATGTCACTCTGCAAACTGATTGTTGAAAAAAAACCATTATACAAAATCAAATTAATCTTGATATATCAATTTGAAATGCATTTTGAAAATAAAGAGCTGGTCATCCAGTAATGAAGTGCTTTGACAGACAATAAATTACAATTAAGAGAATAAGAGAAGAGAGATCTTTAATTCTTGTGCCTTATTCCCTGGAGATTAGATAACACACACACTTGATAAGAGATAAGCCTTAACAACTTCCAACACCAAACTCATTAATTTATCTTTAACTGGATGCATGTCCAGTCATTATTCCCAAGAGACAAATGAAATTACATTATCTTCTGTGCAATGTAAAAACTGTTTTTAACACTTGATGATGTTTCTTTTTTTAAAGTTTTTATGAGTAGTTTTAAGCTGTAGTATTTTTGAACAGATATTCTAGATTCTATATCTCAAACCTTATACATGAGCCCAAAATGAACAAGTCAATTAAAATAAAAAATAAAACCTGTAAAATGCAAAAAAAATTAACAAAAAGAGTTGAAAATTCCAGGTGCACACCTTCATATGGTGAATAAAAAGTGTACAAATTTTCAGATTAATCCTTGCAATAGTTTCTGAGAAACGGTCCAGACAAAACCACAAAATAAAAATGAAAAAACACCTGTAAAATTCAAAATAATAATCCAATCAAGATGAAAATATCAGGTGCACAACTTCATATGGTGAATAATATGTGTACAAATTTTCAGACAAATCCTTCCAATAGTTTCTGAGTAATGGTCCGGACAAAATCTCGTCTACAGACAGACAGACAAACGGACGGACAGACGGACATGGTGATTCCAATATACCCCCCCCCCTAAACTTCGTTTGCGGGGGGTATAATCATGCAAGAACATGAACAAAAGCACAACCTTAACAGAAAAATGTATTTTCCATATAGGGAATGTTGACTTACGCTGCTGGTGACAGTGGATATACACTATTTCATCTAGGTACACAGTTAAAGCATAGTCCCAGTACAGGCTGAAACAAAATAATATCATATCATCATAAAAGTTATTAGGTAAAGGATTCTTTTTTTTTTTTAATCAATCTATCTTATCAGAAAGGTTTAATTATAAGATGATGTTTAATGCTCCAAAATACTAGAGTATATTTTCATAACATGGTTTAAATAATCCAAAAATAACTAAGATGCTATGTTTTTCATTGTGATGCAAGATTCTATTCTTTAACAGATGTTTTATGTCAAAGTTCATCTCTTTTCTCTCGCATCATGCTGACTACCATATCCAATATCACACCTAACATGCTTCCAACAGAAAACATAAGGGCATTACACACCCTTTCACACAAACAGGAAATATTGCAACAGAGGTTTTCAGCAAGTCAGACAAAATTAAATATAAATTTATTTTTAATTCACTGGGCACTCTATAAAAAGCTGTCTGGTCAAACTGCATTGAAAATTGTGTCAACAGGAAAGGGACAAAATCACATTAACTCTGAACTGTAGTTAGTTTTCTTTAGCTCACTTTACAGGTGAATCTAAGTTAAAGAATGAAAAGGCTACTGCATTATATGTATGTGAAAGGTTTTGTTAGTTAGTGATGAATCGTGCTCTATATGATATCTATGTACATACAAACCCTTGTACCAAATCTACAACAGACCCAAAGACACAAAATTCTACCTGTATCAGACAATGAACAGCTTCTAAAACATTACCTTAATCAAGCCCAAGATGGCTTAAACTGTAAAAACCACATTCACATAACATAAAATAGTCTGTGATGTACATCAACACATTAAAATATCAATAATGGGAATAAAAATCACAACAGGTAGATACTAAGTAGGACATCAACAAAGAAATGTCTCGTTAAGATTTATTTTTACCTGCGATCAATTTCATCGTCTGTGTCCTCACAACATCCATTCATCAGCTGATTAGGTGTCCACATGATAGTCAGACCCTCGGCCGATTGATGGAGGGACAAATAACCCGCTAATGGCTCAGTGTCCTCTCTCTGGAACATCACACAATATCATTTGCCAATTCATCAAATTAAAAATGGA